TATACTCTAACACAGAACCGAAACTTTCAAGCGTTCTTTCAGTTATCAAATAGTCAATGCATATAACTCTTTACCAGATTCACTTAAAACTCTACCAATGAGCACATTTAAGGTCAAAGTTCGTGATTTACTATTTTCTAAGTAATTATTACGTACCTAGGTTCTTTGTATTTATTGTTATTTGTAGTTAGCAAATGCAATTCAGGCTTTTTGAAATTTATTTACTTTTATTTGCTTTATATATATATATATTTTTTTTTTTTCAAGGTTAGGTTGAAAAACAGAGGGTGAGCTATGCTTATGTTTAGTATAACTCACTCAGCAGGTGTTACCTCGCCTTTTTTTCACAACATTATTAAATATGTATTTTTAGAATATTGTAAATATACTTTAATTTTATTTTATGATGTGAAAATAAAGACCTTATTATTATATTAAGATAATGAAATATTTATCTGTGGCGCAAGTGTAGAATTATTGAGTGTTTGCAAAAATATATTGTGAATTATTCGTGAATCACCCTGTAACAATAAATATTTTAAAATGTAATTTTTTATGAACATGTAACCAAAAATTATATTAAACTTTTATACACATTAAATCAATCTATCTTTTCAGTTTGAAGAAAATAACTAAAATCAACAATTCTCCACTTTAACGCCCTGTATCTCGAAAATTAGTCATAGTGTCGGATTTAAAATTCATACTTTCTAAAACGACATTAAAATTATTATATATTGAGAAAATGGTTACATTTGACGGGGGAAATTTTAGAGTCAGTAGTGCTAATTTTTAAAAATATTTTTCATTTGGTGATTCTTCAAATTAATATTTTTTTTGCTGAATCCCCCGTATTTCATTGAATTTCAAAATTCAATGAATAATATCAATTTTCATAAAGGTATTACCTAGGTAAATTGTATTTTAATTTTTCTGTATAATAAAACTTTTGAAAAATAGATAAATTAATTTAATCACTGTTCCTGAATATGCGAAACAATATAGGTATACGATAATTTAATTACATTGAATAAACAACGATTAATTTGTAAAAAAAACATGTTTTATACATTCTTTTATCGTAAAATATCTACAGGAAATGTCATTTGGGCTACTATTGTTTATTTGCAAACAAATTTTGATTAAATTTGGATTTGGTATAATAAAAACATTGTAATAGTTTTAGAGCCTAGCAGTCAATTCGAGTAGCGGTGAACAGAGATCTGAAAATTTGTAGATTCATAATTTATTTATTTTAATTTTATTTATTCAAATAGGTACACTACAAAATTGTTATTCTAAATGGTACACATTAAAATAATGAAATATACATATAAGTAAAAAACTCAAATCACATAAAAATACCAAAAAAATTAAGCCTTTAAAATCACATAGGTACATAAAAATAGATATCTAAATAAAAAAATCATTTTAATTAATAAAATAATTTGAAAAAAATTAATTAGTTCTTTCTCTCATAATCATCGATTTTGTATGAATAAATAAGAAATGCTTCACCTTGCTCTACTCATTTAATTTCTCTAGATCATCTTGAAAGGCAGTATTGTTATTTGTGACTGTGCTAAAAATAATTTAAATCATCGGCATAAAAAAGTCAATTTAAGAAGCGGAAAATTACGTCGTTAATGAAAAGTAAGAAAAGGACAGGACCAAGTTATGAGCGTTGCGGGACGCCTTATAAAACTAATACTTCCTAAGATGTAAAATTTATTACTAATTGAATAAGGAAATAATAAACTAACAAGGACACTGCCGTTACATCTTTCAGTAAATTTCTAAAAATATAAAAAAATTATTAAAATAAACATGCTCTTTTATAAGGTTGCAATTTTAAAATGTTTTAATTTCATTTGTTAATTAAAAAATAATTCCAGGTGATTTTGTTCATTGCAAGTACGTACCAGGTGATGAAAAAGATGTCCCAAGTAGCATTTTTTGTGGGCGGAACGTGGCTACCACGACTTTAGAAACTTTAAAGTGTATTGCCATTTTATTTTTCTAGCAGCCTTTTCTTTTTGTTTGCCAATCGTTGTCTCTGTAGTTAAAATTTCTGCCAGCTGCTTGCTGCTTCGTCGAACCGAATAAACGTTAGCAGAAACAACTGGAATAGGCAAGATTATATCTCGTATATTTTCAGGAGTAGACACAGGACTAGACATAGAAGTTCTGACATTTATTGCTGCAGGTGGTTCATTTTGTATTTCTGGTAGTGTTCCTGTCTGCCAACTGCAGCAAGGTTATTGATTATCATCAGCTAAAGCTTTGGAAAGACTTTGCGAACTATCATTAGGATTTTTTTTTTCACTGCAAAAGCGTCAGGGATATCAACTATGCTACTAGTTTTAGTTAAATAGGCGTCATCTGGAATAGCAGCAGGGTTAAATGGTACAATTCCCGTAGTCTTAAAAGCCGAAATTCCATTATTAACAGTTGCAGACTTATTCCACTCTTCAGTAAGTAACTTTTCTAATTGTAATCTAGTACATTTTTGTCCTGGGTTATTTATAATGAATAAATTAGAAGCTGAGTATTAGTTTAATTTTAAATATCTAAAAAAAACATGTATCCAGGAGCTGCAAAAATTGAGTCGTTTGACTCAGTAAGCAAAATAATATAACATTTTGTTCAACACACTATTCCAGCATCTCAACGTTACTGCAGTGTGACGCATGACCATCCAGTAGTAATAAAACTGTCCCTTTCAGCTTTCTGTCTATCTCTGTTCACATAGGCCGATTTTTCCGACATGTAGACCAAGAATCCTAAAGGCATCTTATCATCAATCTCTTGTTTTTTATTTTTGCCTTTTATTACGCAGGTAGGGGGAATAAAAACACCTTCCGCGTTACAGCAAGCTATTACTGTGATGGTTTCTTCTTTTTCTCCAGAGCTGATACTTGTGATATTTTTGAATCCTTTTTTAACAATGACATGTCAAGGCCTATTATTTAGCTGAAGGCCAGTTTCGTCCACACGATAAATATGTCCAGGTTTGCCTAAAAGGTCGTTTTAGATCAGAGTATTTTCTAGAAGCTGAAAATAAATCTCAGCGTCTTTATTGTTCATATTCAAGGATCGATGAATGGAGGCCCCTTCTGCTTTTCTCACTGACAGCTTTGGGTTTCCCTGCAAAAATAACTAAAGCCATGGAAAATCAGCGTATCTCGATTCCTTATTAAAACGATGTTTAATGACCAACTGAAGTTTTAGGATACGTTTGAGTAACTTTTCTTCAGCAGCTTCGCCTTAACTAGAGGAAGGTCCAAGAGGGCATCTTTCCATTTTTTCTTCATTTTCTTCTTCGTAGAGTGGTTGCTGGTACCACAAAGTTACGAGCAGCCTCAATAACTCTCATTCTATTTTCATTAACGGCTTAAATGGCTTTGGTCAACTGTCGTTTGGTCTAACTGGCTTTGGAGCAACTTTCAGTACGCTTGTATTTCATAGGCATACTAAAAAGAAAAAATCTTAATGAGTCATCTCACTTTCAAAATAAGTGAATCATCTATCCTCATCATAAGAGGAGAGATGGCGCACCTCACAAACTGAACACAACCTAAAATACGTGTCATTTTAAGGTTATACAATAAAACTTTAATATTTTTACTTACTTGAAACGATATATTGTCTAAAATTATGAATGAATTAAAGTTCACTAGCACAAAAAAGAAATTAGGAAAAATATTTTTTTCCCAATCGAATCACAATATAAATAATTTTTAAATACGCTTGACGCAGGTAAATACAGTTGGTGTGGCGGACTGCTTAAAGCCGGCCCCAGACAATGCGTGTAATTGGGGAATATTCGGCATACGCGGTCCTCCGCGTAGTGTGTGGGAGCTCAACTGCGCCTATTCTTCGGCATTCGCTTGCTATCCGTAGTCTTGTCGGTAAAACGGCACGCAGCAAAGGAAGACGAAGTGCCTTCGCGCTCATTCGCGTAAGCTCCCAGACAGTGTGCTCAACTACGCCTAGTTGATTGCCTATTCTGTCTCTAGTCAGAGTGGCGCCAAGTTTAGCGTTATTAAAATTACCATACAGGCTGCAACTGCAGCCGCTTGCTCATCGTTACTGTCCATATAAAAAAATAACTACTCACTGCTCTCCGCTACTGTTCTATATTGATGCCCTGCGGCGAACATTTGTCAACATCAGAACATTTTCCAAATGCGGCAGTGTGTGGGAGGGTAACCGAAGGCATGCCGAAGGCGCAGTACGAAGGCACATTCGCCGAATACGCGCATTGTCTGGGACCGGCTTAATATGAACTAACGCACATCATGGCGTCTCCCTTGTTCTTAAACGGAAGCGCTTGTGCTGTAAAACTATTGCGCCATCTCACCTTCTGCGACATCTATTTCTGGTTTTTGGACAGACGATATTAAATCCCTAATATCTTCCTCAATCACTTAAATTTGACTTAATAAAAAGACATCACAAGGACGACCCTTCAACTTCAATTGTTTTAAATTTATTTGCCACTTGAAAAACTGTCTTTATCACTATTTATTCTAATTTTTTTACAGAAAACATTTTTGATAGGTTTTTTATTAATAATTATTTAAATGATGTAAGATGAAATTTATCTGGTCATTCCTATATTAAAATAGACAAATTATATCTTGCGGCATTAATCAAATGTAATAAAACATTAAATAAATTGTTTGAACTTATTGCAAAAACATAATAAAATAAAATGAAATAAATTGACAAATTATTGATTATTTTATTTATGGTTTGAAACTAGTCTAAATAAACTAATTTTGATTTTCTTTATTACATTTTTACAGACTATGGTCCATTTGCACCGCTTGTCTTTAAGAAATAAGACAAGCTTAAACTGACATTTTCCCAATAATAATGTCACTTCAAGCTTCACTAGTTCTTAACGACTAGCGGTGCAAATTGCCCTAGTAGAAAGTTAAATTGCAAAAAGCCTGCTCAAACAGTTTCATAATCTGTAAGTATAACTTTCCTACCTTAACATTTTGTTATCCAACTTTCCTAACTGCTGCAAGTTCCAAAGAAACTCCACGTAAGAATCCACATTGGCACCGGGACAGGCGTATATATCCGGTACAACCAGTTGCGATTTTTCTTTTGAAATTATTGGTGCTCTTGGCATCGTTGCATTATCGGTTGCCTCAATAATTATCCTGGCTCTAATGTCTTCTGGTGTGTACCAATTTAAACTTTTGTGATCGGCTGAGAAAATTAGGATGTCGGATTTTTCTTTGTAGATGATATCTGATGAATCTAATATAGCTCCGGGGTAGAATTTGATAGTACCATCATATAGTTTGTTTTCATAAAGTTTCTAAAAAAAAAATAGTTTTCAGCAAAAAAGATAATAGAAAATTGATAATACTCACTTCCACATCTAATCCTTCAGGATCATATATTTGCGCATCTTCATCTCTAATGCCAATGCAGATCGCTCCATTTTGAACCAAAAATGTAGCCAATGCAGCCCCTAATTTTTCAAATCCCTTAAAAATGAATTCTACTTTTAAAAATGCTAAATATAAAATGTTTTATCAAAATAATAAGAATTAAAGAAATGTATTTGAAAATATTCTTTACTTGAATAATAAAGGTTTTTCCTTTTAAACCAGGAGGCATCATGTATTTCTCCATCAATTCTTCGTTTTTTAGAACTTTTTCTATGGCTAAACATACTTCTCTGTATGTCATTGTGTTTGAACTATCAACAATAATTTGCGACTGATTTTCAGATGAAACCAAGCAAGTGGAATCTACAAGTTTCTAATTTATTAATTTACAAAAATACAACCGTTGACTTTTGATAATATTTATAAACATTTTCCTTAAAATATAATAATAAAACGTGTTTCAATAGAATAAAATGTGCGTATTTCTAAAACTTTTTCTACAACTATATATCTTATGATGAATATAATGTATTTAAAACAAATGAATAACTGTAGTACGTATTTTTCATATTTTTTTTAAAAAATAAACAAAAAATTGCTTTCATAGAAAATTTAATTCAGGCCGTAAAATCCAAAGTTGAACGCTTTAAAGCCGCAATGTTAAATGAATTAACTAATCAAATATGTCTGTTAACAAAAAAATTATTATTTATATATTACAATACATTTTTTTAAATCCTTAAATAAATTTCAAAATTAGCTTTACTACTCTGTTTTTAAAGTAGCAGGAGCGAATTGAAAAGACGCATTTACACAGGGAAGTAACAGGATTAGTTACTAGAAGGGTGTTCCGAAATAGTCGTGTTCAATATTTATGAAATAGTTGTCTTTATTGGCCCTAGTCGGAGAACGGCCAGTGAGGGGTTAAGAAACAAATAAATGTCATGAGAGTCGATTTTTATTGGTCGCAGAGAACGGTTGTAAATTTCACATTATTGTGATCTAAAACGTGTGCTTAAAACGAACTGTCAAATGAAATTCAATATGGTCGTTGATTTGTTGACGTTATAGCTTATTGGTAATATTTTTTTGATTGAATATTTAAGAAAATTTCGCATTACTCATGCGGGAAAAAAGCGAGGAACTTTTGAATTTACTAATTGGGTTGGCTAGGACGATTGCCCTATGTCATCGTTACTTTAAACAACTGTCTTTGATTCTATATAGTAGGGAGCCATTGAAACTTTTTTAGTACACATTTGCAAAAATGTACCGTTAATTCGTACCCTGTCAGCAAGCAATAAAATATCTGCTGTGAGCCGAAAACTCTTTTCTACTTACTTTTGATGGAAATAATATCTGAAAGTTTCAAGTATGCGCTTCTACGACAGCATTTTCTAGACAGGTTTTTTTAAACCGCCATTGTTGAGGACTCTATCGCTGCGTAGCAAACTATTTCCATGCTCTACAAGGTAAGGATGAACGAAATATTTGTAAAATGTTACCTTTCACAAAAAACACATCTAAAAGTGTCACTGGCTCCCCTACCATTACTGTGAAACTCAAAAATAAAGTGACATTTGCGAATGTATAATTGAAACTCAGAGTAGGAAACATAACAATAAATTTTGATGATTTAAAGCGAAAGTAGAATGTGCGCATGAGTAATACAGATCATCAATAACGGGAAAGGTCCATTTGATCAATTAAAAGTCTACAGATTTGCCAATTTAAATTGCAATCGCTTCTCCTAGTTTAAAAACAAAGTATAGTAAACTGAAGTCAACACATAGACTCATAAACTAGTGTATTTGACAATCCTTTAGTGCTGCGCAGGCGCGCTTTCTGCGTCTTCTCTAGGTAGTTAACAAATCTATTAAAAAGTTACAGATTTTGCCAAACATATGCCTGGTACAGCTGATGTATCTAAAATATCGCAATTTACCTCCATCAGTAACAGGGCCATGCTCATTATCTATTTCAGACTGTACTTTAAGTTCACTATAATCTTCTTTTTTCCTTTTAATGGGTCTAAGATGATTCTGGTTCAAAACTCTAAAAATTCTTTCGACAACCGAATTTTCTTCAAAATCAATTGATTGCGATTCTAATTTTTGTACTATCAACATTGGATAACATACCTCATATGCCCTAGAAAGTAAATAAAAATGTTGTGAATGGTTTAAATGGCATTTTGTGTAAATAATGCGTAAAGGCAGATCGATTATAACTTAGAAAGGGTTAAAAGGGAGATAGATATGAAAAGAAGTATTTGTGTAAAATAGCAGAGGTGTAGCACTAGAAAATAAATATAGAAGAGTGAGCAGATAGTTGAAAAAGGTTTAGGGCACAACAGCAGAAGTACCAGAAGGCAAGTTAGAGGACATAGTTTGAAATTAATTCATTTTCAGAAGTTTTAAACGCAACCCTTGTAGAGATATCAATTTGAAAATACATACCTTTCAGGTATTTCATACGGAGTTGATAATTTCGGCCTTGGTATTGGATAAGTCGTTTTCGCTGTGTCTATTATATAAGCCATTTAGTTTTCCAGAAAAAAAATATTAACAAAACTTGTACATAAAAACTATTTGACAAAAAGAATTGACGTTGATTTAAATTTTGACAATTTGTTGCTAAGGTAGTAAGTAAAGACTGTGAAGACTATCTCTAGTTTTCATAGTAAAGACTACCTAGTCACAGAGCAACCATGTTGCGCAATAAACTGAAATTTTTTTGTATCATGCTTATGGTTGTTACTCTCGTGTAAAACCACACTTAAATCAATACAAGATACTCAACTTTTGGCGGTATATTTTGAAGTTCGAAAGTCAAATAACTTTAGGTCGACATTTGCGTTTTGCATGAAAATTAAAATTTCGAATCTGTTACTGTTATTAACACCACAGGGCTATTTTCACTGGAATGTATCGTGTTTTAATTAAAAAATAGTGTGATTAAAAATATACACAAATATTTAATAAAAATAAAAAAAACATAAATATTTTATTTTCCATTTTTTTCATATTATTAATTTAATTTTCTTATCTGGTCTTTAAAAATTCCAATTTGCGTATTTTAGTGTATACTAAATTCTTATTTATGCATACAAATTCAACAACTAATAAAATGGAAATTGAAAACAAGGGTGCGAGAGATTAATTTCTATAAAAATATGTTCAATTTTTTGGCATAAATCAGTTTATGTACAGATTTGTCTGAAATTCCAGAGTCGTAATGAACGAAATGAAATCAGTGTAAGGCATATAGAGACTGTCAAACTGCTTTAAATATCTATGTATATAAGTCTCATAATACCCTATTAATACCTCTTGCACTGTGTAGGTAAACAATTTTGTATTTCTTTAAATATTCATCAATAATATGGCATCCTATATACATTCATTATTCAGACATTATTGAAAAAATTTAAAAGAAAGTCTGATATACACTTATTATTTTATGTGACTTCTTTGGCTTTGGCATTAAAGACTTGAAAATTCGAAAACATGTGACACAATCTTTTAAAATAATCCATTTTTGCAATGTGCAAAATCCAGGCACTTTTGACAAGTCTTTCTTTACACTATGTTTGGCCTGAAATATATAATGATAATTATCGTTTACTAAATACGCTTTTGCAAACTGCTGACACTTCTTTTGACGTCACGGTCCTGACCACAGATTAAATAACAACTAAAATCCTATACGATGACTTTTTTTTCTTCTTTTATTCAAACCCACATACTGACGTTATAAACATGGCCTATCTCTTCTAGGCAACACATCATATCGCTTCAAAATGTGAACATATTTTGATATTCTGATACTCATTATAATTTTAATGGTAGACGTTGTTAGGTACCTCCGTTCATTAGCGTTGAAGTTACTTTCATACGTCATTATATGCATGTACTTACAAGTAGATAGGTGTATACTTAGATGCAAATTGTAACAGTTATTGCTCATATACGAGAGGAATAGGTAGTGAAGTCCAATTATTTTTCGGCTTAAAATAACATCCCAGAAGTTTGTACTTCATACTTTCAAAATTTAATAAAAAAAAGTAAATATCACGAAATATTTGTTTATTAAAAAAACACATTTCAATTAATATCAATAAACGAAAAAGAAATAAAGCGATATACAGGGCATTTAATTAAGCCGTATCTTGGAAACTACTGGGACTAAAGATGCTACGAGAAAATCCAGGATATTACTTTAAAATGAGTACGAAATTAATAATTTTTTAAATAAAAAACGACTTCAAAATCGTGCAGATGCCCTTAAAAATTGAGATTTTTGATTTTCCCATAAATCGTCAGATTCTGGCCAATTGTTTATGGAACTACCCCTGAGGTATCCCCTTTATAACAAAAAAATTATCGTAGAATTTGGACAATGTGTTAAAGAATTATCACTAAACATACATGAAAAATGAAGAGTTTGAGGATTTTCTCATTGACTCAATTATCGCTGAACATACATAAAAAAATATACATATTACTACGAATTGAGAACCTCCTCCTTTTTTGAAGTCGGTTAAAAAGAAAGGTTCTAAATGGACTATTAAAAATACATGACTACTATAGCTCATTGCAAAGTGATTTCTGAACGTTCAACTTCGATTGTTAATGCTATTAGCAACAAATGTATTATATTATTATATTAAAGAAATTAATAGAATTCGCCGCATATTTTATAATACCAATAACCCATTGTGATTTATGTAAGTTGTAAATCAGCATAATGCCCTTACGGCAATAGACGTCAGAATGGACACAACTCTCATCAGTTTCGCAGAAGTTGTAGAACTTTTATGTTAATAAATTCACGAAGAATCGCAAAAATCACGAGTGTCCAATTCTCGACGGACCTACTTGCAGTTTTCTTTAGTTTTCCACTTTAACGAAACCTGTATTTGTTTTCAATCAGATCAAGTTGAAATCGAAGAATTTTCAAGTGTTGAAGTTAGAGTGAAAAATTGTCTGAAATCGAATGGGAGGTATTTTTTAGAAAATAGATTTATTAAAATAGGTGAAAAAATTGGATAACATTCTTTCATAATGTATACATGGCTACACAAAAATTCAAGAATTTTGTGTGTAATGGTTAGAGTTATATTAATAATAAAAGCATTTATTGCCCAACAGTTTCCCATTTACAACGCAAATTTAACAATATAAAATTAAACTAAGAAAATACATAAGATAAGTAAATAAAAAGTTACCCCACTATTTTTTTAAAACCTAATTAATTCATCACACAAAAATTACTTATCTAACTGCAACAAAAATACACGCATGAATGCAGAAGATTTCATACACTTTAAGAAAATCATTAATTCAAAATAATTAATGAAGATTAAATTGTAGACGTGGAAAATAGTAAGAAAAACCTCAGATACACACTTCTGCCTCTCATTAAGTGCCCAACTCGACTAACATTCCAGTTGATGGCTTCAGAAATTTAGCGCGTGCTCCGGCTTAGCCTGCACATGAATGACTTCTCAGATTGCTGCATAATTTGAATTTGAGTGGTGCCCTCGGTTCCCCGCCGCGCACCATTACCCGCCGCGCACCATTACCCCATTTTCCCCCACGTATTAATATGAATGGCATTATTACATAAAATATTTTTTACAATAACGTATAAACTAAATATTTTTAAAACCAATGTTTTCCAACTACAGTTTATGTATTGTCGAGCGAAAGAAATGTCAGACAATTTTTCTAATAAAAATAATTCACTAGAATTTTACCGCTAACTGCTTTTCTTTCACATTTGTAAAATAGTGTATAAAAGTGAAAATTAGGTTAATTTAGAGATATGTCGAAACAGAAGGGGGTTATTTTAAACATCTACTATAAAATTAATTCACATTTAAAAAGACACTGATTACACCGTTCAACACAAAAATCCTCTTTATAAAAATATCGTGTATTTTATAACATTTGGACTTAAACTAATATACAACTGATCCCCAAATGTTTATATTAGCCTCAAATTTCTTGGAAGGGTCGAATAGGCCCATTAATAGGTAATAAACGGTCGCCGCATTGTTATTTTCAGGTAGTTGGATCTATGCTTGAAATATCCCTTTAGTCGTTACCAGAAAATCATTTAGTAAACATCTATTCATATTTTCGCTTAGATCTACGTGTGTGTTAAAACGGTACCAAAAATGTCGATGCGCGTACTTTGGATGCAAACATTATAAAATTAAGGTTTGGCCTCCACGTAACACTATACAAGTTGGCGTTAAAAATTTGACCCGAGAACCATTAGTTCAGAAAGAAAAAATATATTTACCCCTACTTCACATTGAGCTGGGTCTGATCAAAAATTTTGTTAAAGCACTGGATAGAGAAGGAAATGCTTTCAAGTATTTAAAAGACAAATTTCCACGTATAATTGAGGCCAAAATTAAAGAAGGAATTTTTGTTGGTCCCCAAATTAGGCAATTGTTTAAAGATGCGAACTTCAAGCAAATTTTAAGTGACAATGAAAATCGGGCATGGAATGCATTTAAAAGTGTTTGCAACAATTTTCTTGGAAATAATAAATCAGAAAATTATGGTGAACTACTCACGGCCTAAATAGGCAAATGTCTCAACTTCTTGAACTCTCTATAGTATGTAACAAAACTGTTAAGTGTAGATAATTGTCACTTTAAAAAATATCTTAACAAAAATAGTATTTCAAACCTGTAGCAGGTATAATAGACTGTGCATAAATTAAACTTAAACAATAGACAACCCATGTAAGAGCCGGAAATTCTGGGTAGAATCTAATTACCTTTAATTATAACTTCAAAGCAGTCTAGTTGCTCGAAAATTGGGAGTTATCGGTAATCCCAGTTGCGTCGTAAGTCTCATATTAGTAAGACTTAATTAAACTTTACCCTTCGTCGATACAGAGATTCGAAGAATCATTTTAGCTTTAAAATTGTTTAATTCATTGTTATTAAAAAAGTTCAACAGATAAATACATTTTAAGTTAAAAAGTTCCCTTACTTTTTCCACTAGATACCTCCGATTGTTTTTCCACTGCTCGATAATGAGCTATCGAAACGAACTTTCTACTTAAAGTTTCTAAAGTCCGTAATGGAAGAAGTTTCTTTTTATATATTATTGTTAAACACTTTATTATGAGCTGAATTAAAAACAGCTTATTTAATTCGAGAGTAAATAAGCATAAAAAATTCAGGAAAGCAAAATAGGTTTAGTAAAATAATAATGGGACAGATAAAGCCAAACGTGCTATATATTTTCACGTAACAACATAGAGCGAATTCTAGGCGTCACTTCACGACATAGGACTAGTGTGTTTTTAAAAGTACGAAATGTGGGGTTTTAAATAATAATAATAATAATAATAATAATAATAATAATAATACATTTATTTTCAACAGGTATGTACCCAATAACAGAAAATAATACATAATACAATAAAGATGAACAGTACGTATGAACAAAAACTTAATTAATAAGAACCTATAAATAAAATAATGCTATAAGAATGGAACTTAATAGTATGTGCTTATAAATAGTAAAATATAAGAAGAAAAGAATAAATGAAACAAAAAAATAATTTTTTAATTAATTAACGAAAAGTTAATTTAACTCAATTATGGACAGTCAATTTGATTATTTA